CTGAGGTGGGATGGAGGAGTAGATCATGGGAAATGAGCGGTTTTTGAGTCCATATGTATGCTAAAGACCCCTAGTATGAGGGCAGGAGTTGGACAGGAGAGAAAAATTGTGAGCCAGACACTGAATTCATTGAGGGTAAGGTCACTTCTGTAGACCTAGAGGTCTACAGAAACCAGGATTTTGATTGTTGGTAAATATGGATTGCATGAACCTCAAGAGGAGAGGTTACTGAGTGGTAGAAGTAGAGATAAAACCCAGAAGTGGCAGTAAAGATCAAGGAGTATTCCAGTTCACCTGCCTGAACCAGTGAGCTGAGAAAAATGAATGAAGGTGTACCTAAGACTGGAAAGGGTAGCCAGGACAATTGTGTCAATAGGGAGGAGCCAGGTCTTGGTAAGTGCTACAAAATGGAAGAAATGGGAGAGAAAACGATTTAAGATGTAGGGAAGTCTGTTGCCCATGGAAAAGGCATTCTAACATAGTGGAAGTAGTAGGTTGTGTTTGGTTGGGAATGTGCAGCGAGAGGATTGAGGGGGATGCAAATAAGGAATTGGGTGATGGGACATGGGGAATGGGGTTTGGATGATGACCTACAGGAGTTCAGAGTCACTGAAATGTTTAGGGTATGACTAAGTGTGAGAATATTCATCACTGAATATAAGGTGCCACTGTACTTCCCAGAAGATGAGGAGATCACTTAGGAGACAAGTAGAGCAAAAGATGGAAGGTATGAGGTCAGATGGAAGCTGCTGTTTCACTTTATCTTTTTCCTCAGAAGGCAGGAGACAGTGTAGTAAGAGATGGAAGTCCTGCTTCCCACCAATTTTCCTCTTCTTCTATCAGGGCCACATGCAGCAAGAGATAGAAGTCAAGCCTGGACAGCAGGAAATGCAAGTCCCACTCCCCACTAAGTTTCTTCTTCCTCTTCCATCAGGGGCCATGTGCAGCAGGAGATGGAGGGGGAATGGTCGCTTCTCTTCTCACCTGAGGCTAGAGATCAGGTGGGAGTCAAGGGAGGTAGAAGTCTCATTGATACAGATGAAAATGATTCTTCCAAGGTACCACAAGAAATCAATAACAGAGCTGATCAAACCTCCATATCCCTTTCAAACATACTGAAAATCAGTATCATTCCTACATGACTCATTTCCTGGGGTTTTTAAGGGACAAGGTCCCATGAATAGAACAATAATAATGAACAACAAAGAAAAGGCAAAACTATTCAAACTTTTTTAAATTTTGTCTTCTCTTATAATGAAAACAAAATGACTAATGGAGAGTTGAAAGTTCCCTGTTAGAGAGTTAATAGTAAAGAGATAATAAGAGAGCACATAACAATTGCTAACAGTTCTTGCTAAGCTCAAATGACCAGGTTCACATGAACTAGTTTTGAAATAACAAAGAAAACACACGTATTAAATTTCTATTTTCAAATGTCATTATGATGCATGGCACAGTACTCTTTTAAAAATGATTTTCCCTTTTACTTTTAACTAGGTGAACTCTAAGTAATCAAATAACAGTCATTTTGAGATTGACACACTCAATTGTCAAACGTTGACTTTGGAATTTTTGGGGAAAGAACTAGTGAATTAGCTAAGTGAGTGAGAAGCAGCTATGATAACACAAAAAGCAGAAGATTTGAAGTCAGAAAACATGATTTTGTTTTCTTTTTTTTAAAAATTAATTTATTTATTTTTAGTTTTCAACTTTCACTTCCACAAGATTTTGAGTTCCAAATTTTCTCCCCATCTCATCCCTCCCCCACCCCAAGATGGCATACATTCTTCTCCTAATCTGCCCTCCCTTCTGTCTCTCCCCTCCTCTTATCTCCTTCCCTTTCAATTTTCCTGTAGGGCAGGATAAATTTCTATACCCCATTTCCTGTATATTTTATTTCCCAGCTGCACGGGAAAACAATTTTTTTTAACTTCTGTTTTTAAAAGTTTGGATTCCAAATTTTCTCCCTTTCTCCCTCGTTGAGAAGGCAGGCAACTTGATACAGGTTATTTATGTATAGTCATGCAAAACACTTCCATAGTAGTCATGTTGTGAAAAACTGTATTTCCCTTGAACCTATCCCGCCCCCCATTTATTCTATTGTCTCTTTTGACCCTGTCCCTCCTTAGAAGTGTTTGCTTCTGACTACTCCTCCCCCAATCTGCCCTCCCCTCTATCATCCTCCTGCTCTCTTGACCCATTCCCCCCCTATTTTCCTTTAGGGTAAGATAGATTCTCATACCCAATTGAGTGTGTATGTTATTCTCTCCTTACGCCAAATCTGATGAGAATAAGATTCACTCATTCCCTCTTACCTTTCCCCATTTCCCTTCCACTGTAAAAGCCTTTTCTTGTCTGTTTTATGTGAGATAATTTACCCCATTTTACCTCTCTCTTTCTCCTTCTCTCCGTATAATCCTCTCACCCCTTAATTTTATTCTCCAGATATCATCTTCATCTTCAACTCACCCTGTGCCCTCTCTCTCTCTCTCTCTCTCTCTATATATATATATATACATATATATATACATATATATGTATATATATATATACATATATAAAGTTTTCCCTCCAACTCCTCTAATACTGACAAAGGACTCATGAGTTATAAATACCATCTTTCCATAAAGAATGTAAACAGTTCAACCTTAATAAGTCCCTTATGATTTCTCCTTCCTGTTTACCTCTTCATGTTTCTCTTGAGTCTTGTATCTGAAAGTCAATTTTCTCTTCAGCTCTGGTCTTTTCATCAGGAATGCTTGAAAGTCCTCTATTTCACTGAATGACCATTTTTTCCCCTGAAGGATTATGCTTATTTTGCTGGGTAGGTGATTTTTGGTTGTAATCCTATCTCCTTTGCTCTTTGGAATATTATATCCTATGCTCTGTGGTCCCTTAATGTAGAAGCAGCTAAATCTTGTGTTATCCTGATTGTGTTTCCACAATACTTGAATTGTTTCTTTCTGGCTACTTGCAATATTTTCTCCTTGGCCTGGGAACTCTGGAATTTGGCTACAATATTCCTAGGAGTTTTCCTTTGGGGATCTCTTTCAAGAGGTGATTGGTGGATTCTTTCCATTTCTATTTTGCTCTCTGGTTCTAAAATATCAGGGCAGTTTTCCTTGATAATTTCTTGAAAGATGATGTCTAGGTGCTTTTTTTTTTATCACGGCTTTCAGAGAGTCCAATAATTTTTAAATGATCTCTCCTGGATCTATTTTCCAGGTCAGTTGTTTTTCCAATGAGATATTTCACATTGTTTTCTATTTTTTCATTCTTTTGAATTTGTTTTACAGTATCTTGATTTCTCATAAAGTCACTAGCTTCCAATTGCTCCATTCTAATTTTTAAGGAAGTATTTTCTTCAGTAATCTTTTGGACTTCCTTTTCCATTTGGCCAATTTTGCTTTTTAGGGCATTCTTCTCCTCATTGGCTTTTTGGACCTCTTTTGCCATTTGGGTTAGGCTATTTTTTAAGGTGTTATTTTCTTCAGTATTTTTTTGGGTTTCCTTTAGCAAGCTGTTGACTTGTTTTTCATGATTTCTTGCATCACTCTCATTTCTCTTCCCTATTTTTCCTCTACTTCTCTTACTTGCTTCTCAAAATCCTTTTTGAGATCTTCCATAGCCTGGACCAATTCATATTTTTCTTAGAGGCTTTGGATGTAGGAGCTTTGACTTTGTTGTCTTCTTTTGGTTGTTGATCTTCTTTGTCACTAAAGAAAGATTCTATGATCTGACTTTTTTTTTGCACTGTTTGCTCATGATCCCAGCCAATTACTTGAGTTATAAACTCTTTGTTAAGGTAAGGGTCTGCTTCCAGTGCAGATAATGTACTATCCCTAGCCTCAGGGGTTTTGTGCAGCTGTTTTCTGAGATACTTCTAGGGACCTGTAAATTTTCAGTTCTTCCAAGGTGGTAAGATCAAAAGTGAGGTGTTTATTCTTTTCCTGGCCTGTGCTCTGGTCTGTGAGTGACACAAGCACTCTTTTTTGTCTTGGAACTATGAGAAGGATTCTCTCTCCATAGTCACTAAAAGCTCCACCACACCAGCACTCTTCCTTGCCCCAGGACCGCCACCCAGAACTGTGACCCAGATCCAAGCAGGGGCAAAGCAAGAGAATCCTGCACCAGCAAAGAGATCCCTGCAATCCCCCTCTGATCAGCCACTTGATTCCCCCTCAGTCTGTGGGCCTGAAGCTCCAGAGGCAGCCACCACCCTGGGGCCATGCTCGGGGAGTAGGGCTGGGACAGTGACCGCACTTTTCTCTCATCTCAGACACAGACTTTTCCTACTGACCTTCTAAGTTGTCTTTGGCGTTCATGGGTTGAGAGATCTGGAAACTGCCACAGCTGCCTGTGATTCAGTCCTCTGAGGCCTGCTCCAGGTTTGCTGAGGCCTGCGCGCCCTTGCCGAACTGTGATATACCTTTCTGATCAACCATCCAGGTTGTCTTGGGCTGGAAATTTCTTTCACTCTGTCTTTTTGTGGGTTCTGCTGCTTTAGAATTTGTTTAGAGCTATTTTTTACAGGTATTTGGAGGGGTTTGGGGGAGAGCTGAAGTAAGTCACTGCTTTTACTCCACCATGTTGGCTCCACCAGAAAACATGAATTTTGACACTTACTAGCTCTGTAACCTTGGGCAAGTCAACCTCTCTATAGCTGAGTTTCCACATTCACAAAATGAGGGTAATTATACTTTTACTACTAATACCTCATAGGGTCATTGTGAGGATCAAATGAAATAATATAAATGTACAGCTATATATAGATGTGTATACACATCTATATATTCACACACATACACACATACACACACACACACACACACACACACACATATATAATGTTTAAATATATAGTGCTACCTATCTGTTAGTAATAGCAAGAAAATCAGAAAATTCTCAACTACCTAAAAACATTTTCCAAATCTTATTCTAAAAATGCCAACACTTTGGAATGTATGTCAAAGCCAAATCACTTCATTGTTGATACTTACAAAAATGGTATTAATCCTGTGTTTGCTAGAGCATAGGAAAGTCCTAAAATTCCACTGCCTACAATGGAGTTGGCTAGATTAAAAATAGATAAACTCATTGAGGCTGTTCCTTGGATCTGCATAAAGAAAAAAAAAAGTAAGAAAATAAATAAATAAAATCTAAATTACATTTTACAGTACAATATGGAGACAAGATCATTTTGGGGGGAGTTTATTTTGCTCTATATTTAAGTGGCTTCAAGCTGAGAAACAGATAAAATAACACTCGTGACAAAAAACATAGGTTTGGGCATTGGTATAAATAATATATAATATATAATAAATATAGCACAGTATAAAATAGTGGACGTGATGGCAGGAAGGCCTAGTTTGAATCCTGTCTCAGATTCTGAGCAAGTTACTTCATTTCTCTGAGCTGCTTCTTCATATATAAAATGTGGATAATAATAGCACCTACTCTTTAGTAGGATCCAATGAGATAACAAACCACTTTACAAACCTCAAACTTCTATATAAGTGTTAGCTGTTATTATTACTCAGAGTGTTGTTATGAAAGTCAAATGAGACAATGTATACAAATTGCTTTATATACCTAAACATACTATACAAATACAAGCTATTATTTATGAAAGACCTTGGGATCGAAACTAAGATTAGGGGAACTTAAGGAATGTCGAAGTAAAATAGAGGAAATTAAGTCCATTATTTTATATTTATTATTTTTAGATGGTAAAATATCACTAGTATGGTAAATTGCTAATTAATTTATGAAATTATCAAATGAGGCAGATGCCCAATTCTTTGGGCACTTGCCAAAGAACACAATGACAGTGAAAAAGGAGTCTTCAATCACATTTTAATAAAGCACAGAGGGTGCGAGGGTAAACAGCACAGAAAACACAAGTAATGGAAAGTGGGGAGGAGTATAGAGGCCAGCAGTGTGGGGGTGGAGAAGGGGTGTTGAAGGAAGGCAGGTAGTGTGAGGAAGAGAGCAGGGAGGGAAGAGGCACAGAGTAACCCATGGATTACCTGTTGGAAGCACTTGGTAGCATGGACCCAGATGAAGATGGAAGAGTGCTAAGGGCAGGGAAAGAGTTTGGGGTTTCATTTTTACAGTCTTTGGCAGGGGATTAACTCTTATCCATACCACTTTGAAGTTAGCTCATTAATATATCTAAATTAAGGGGCAGCTAGGTGGCGCAGTGGATAGAGCACTGGCCCTGAAGTCAGGAAGACCTGAGTTCAAATCCGGCCTCGGACCAAACACTTGACATGTACTAGCTGTGTGACCTTGGGCAAGTCACTTCACCCCAATTGCCTCGCCAAAAAATATATATATATATATATATATATATATATATATAAACATATATCTAAATTATCTCAAAGTTGTCAGTAAAACATTAAAGTTAACGTATCCACATCATCTCAGAATTATCAGCATCATTTGGCATTCTGCTGTTTTTACTATGGATGTCTAGACTACAGTTTATCTGAGGTTCGTATATCATAGGACAAAAAGGCTCTGACAACAAACACTAGATGGCTTCCCCTGATTTAGCCCATAGTCTCAGGATGTGATTTTTGGTCTATATACTATAGTTTGCAAATTATGTTCCTCTGATCCTTGGGAAGGCCAAGTGTGACTTCCATGTGACTTCCAGGTTTCTTAGAACAACATTATAGTGTTGAAATTTGACTACTGGGGTCACATATCTTTATCTGAAGACATCTTATGGGGGCAGTATCTGAACAATTTGTGACACACACTATGTTGTCAGAAATGCTACAGAGTCCTGTGCTGTTGGGCTGAAGTAGTCCAGGGACAGTGGATGGCTGAAAGGTGTTTTTACCTCATCTGGTTGCAAAGCTTTAGTGAGGTTAAGAGTGCAGGAGTTAGCTGTGTTGGTGAATCATCCTCCCCCAAATTCCGGTGGGTTATAACATGCTCAGCATTGAGTAAGGTTCTGTGTGGAGGCAGGAGCTTTGGCCATTGCCATATGGAGAATGCTCTTTGATAGGGAGCCTCTATACTGGGCCAGCCAGATAAGGGGTAGTCCAGCCTTTTCAGGAAATTGTTGTAAGACAGGTCAGCAAATTTCAAGAGATTTACAGAGTTTGGAGTTTCACATACTCTGGTTTGTGCTTTGGGGTGCTTGTGGAATTCTCCTAGATTAGGGAGTTATAAGAATTGTGTGAACCACACTGACTCCATATTGCAAAACTGACTCTATTCTGAGACCTAAGTTTCATTTTCTTGTAAATCTACCTGTTTGTCAATTGTGGGAATTGAGTGACATCCTATTTCATATCCAGAAAAGTCCACCTACTTGCTCTCCCCCCTCCCAACTCTTGAAATTCACTCATTCCCCTCCCAACTCAGAAAGTTCCTAATCTTTCCTCCTAATTTTGTATCCTGGTTTATATCCTGTTGTTTTCTTTTAATGCATAAAAGGGCAGGCTAGGTGGTACAGTGGATAGAGCACTGGGCTTGGAGTCAGGAAGATCTGAATGCAATCCCAGGCTCAGACACTTACTAGCTGTGTGGCCCTGGGCAAATCCTTAACCTCTACTTGCCTCAGTTCCTCATGGGTAAAATGGGGACACACTGGAGAAGAAAGTGGCAAACCACTCCAGTATCATTGTCAAGAAAAGTGTCACAAAGAGTTGGACACAACTGAACAACAATGTATATATCTCTCCTTGTATTTGGGGTCCAGTGCCAAGCTAAGAAGGTAAGGTCCCAATTTGTTATGCAATTGGCATGCATGGCTTAATAAATCAATATGCCCAGAAGTTCAAACCTTTGTTTCCTCAGTTACTTCAGATTTCACCAATCACAATTTTAGGTGAAGCCAGCCAGGTTGAGGATACAGACCCCCAGAATAGGCTTTCAGAAACTTCACAGACTTCTCCCAGAGGTAGACTCCCCTCCTCAATCTCAAATTCTTCCAAACTAAGGTAAGCCCACACATTGTTGGGGCAGGTGTTTCCTGGGACAATTCACCCCTACACTGTTGGGGAAGAGATACTCCTTTGAAGGGAATGATGGAGTCCAGTAATAGTAAAATACCAAAGGATTTCACCTTGGAAAAAATTTCTTTTGGCATGAGACCACAGGAAGTATCAGCTGTTAAATTGATACCCCTTAAGGGAAATTCTTATTGACTTGGAACTTCCCATACAGAAGTGGAGGAGGCAACTAAAAGATAGAACTCTCAGATTATGCTAAAATACATAAAAATACAAATGGGTCCCAAAATTGGCCTGAGGAAGGGACTTTTAATTATGCAAAACTCTGAGATTAGACTTTCAGTAGGAAATAAGGAGGTTAGAAAGTATGTTTGTCTTATCATTCTGTTTGTGTTTTTTTTTAATTTTTTTAATTTAACTTTTTTTTTTAGGCAATTGGGGTTAAATGACTTGCCCAGGGTCACACAACTAGTGTCAAGTGTTTGGTCTGAGGCTGGATTTGAACTCAGGTGCTCCTGATTTCAGGGTCGGTGTTCTATCCACTGCGCCACCTAGCTGCCCTTTTGTTCATGTTTTTGTTTCTTTGTAAAATGCTCAGAAAATCTTTCTCTTGTGTTATGGTGTTGTTTGTAGATTCTGCTACCTTGAAAGATTTCTAAGGGGAAAATGTAGTCAGCTTTAAAGACTGCTATAAAAAGTTGAAGCCAGAGAGATAACACGTATGCTGGGAAGATTAATGATGTTTCATAATTTCCTATTTGAAAAAGTGATGCCAAAGTCTCTGTTCCAGTAAGAGGGACTAACCCTCATTTTAGGCTTTCAGCAGATTAGGTTAAAGAGGAAAAAAACCCAAACCCTGCAAGATAGTTATTCTCTGTCATTTCAGCCCTGGCTATGTTGGAATTATAGAGATAAAATCAGATAATCAAAGAAAGGAAAATTTTTTCCTGCTTTGTAGGAATTTGTGGCATTATAAATGAATTAGAGATTCCAAATTATGATAACTACTAAAAATATCTAAGCAGATTTTGGACGTTTGGAGATTAAGGAGATTGAAGATTAATCATTTTAAAATTATAGGGGAGAATTCTTAGGACCTTGGGTAATTCTAGGAACTCACCCTCTTTGTTCTATCTGATAAGGCACTTAGCAGAAGTTTAACATACACTGAAATATCTTAGTGAATCTTGGGGATGCCACTTTGTGGAATTTGCTTTAAGGAAAAATAAGAATTAAATTCTGTGAAAGTTTCAAGAGTAAAAAGCACATAGATCACTTTTCTCTGAAGACTGATAGAGTTATTGTTTTAGTATAATGAAGGAAAGCAGATAGTTTGAAAGTAATCCCAGAGAGAAAAAAAATAGTATGTGGTTTCCTTTTTTAAATTTATCTGGAATTTAATAGCTGTCCCTTGGGGCAGCTAGATGGCACAGTGGATAGAGCACTGGCCCTGGATTCAGGAAGACCTAGGTTCAAATCTGGCCTCAGACACATGACTAGCTGTGTGACCCTGGGCAAGTCATTTCACTCCATTGCCTCTCAAAGAAAAAAAAGCAAAAAAAAAAATTAATAGCCGCCTCTTGTTAACCCCCCCACTTTTTTTTTGTTTGTTTGACTAGGCAATGGGGTTAAGTGACTTGCCCAGGGTCACACAGCTAGTAAGTGTTATGTGTCTGAGGCGGGATTTGAACTCAGGTCCTCCTGACTTCAGGGCCGGTGCTCTATCCACTGTGCCACCTAGCTGCCCCTTGTTAACTCTTTCTTGACCATGAAAAGAGAAAAGCCTGTTTAAATCAGGGAGAAACTTTAAAATGAGTAAAATTTAATTAAAGAGTTTTAAACTGAAGAGGGGTCTATAAGGAGGGATTGCCAGCCCCACCCCCACTGTCACCATTGACTGCTAGACCCTGGATAGGTACTCACAATGCTGGGAAGGTGGGAAGTGATCAGGAACTTTTGGGAAGGCTAAAATAAAACTTTTTTTTTTTGGCTGGGCAATGGGGTTAAGTGACTTGCCCAGAGTCACACAGTTAGTAAGTGTTATGTGTCTGAAGCCCAATTTGAATTCAGGTACTCCTGACTCCAGGGCCCAGTGCTCTATCCACTGTAACACCTAGCTGCCCCTTTTTTTTTTTGGCTAAGC